GGTTCAAGAAGTTTTACAAAGGAGACGACAGCCTTGAAGATGAGGAGCATAGTGGCGGGCCATCAGAAGTTGACAGTCACCAGTTGAGAGCAACATCGAAGCTGATCCTCTTATAATTATGTGAGAAGTTGTCAAAGAACTCAGTGTTGACCATTGTATAGTTGTTCAGCATTTGAAGCAAACTGGAAAGGTGAAAAATCTTGATAAGCGGGTACCTCATGGACTGAGCGAAAAATTTTTTTAATCATCATTTTGAAGTGTCATCTCTTATTCTGTGCAACAATGAACCGTTTCTTGATCGGATTGTGATATGCAATGAAAAGTGGATTTTATATGACAACTGCCAACAACCAGGTCAATGGCTAGACCGAGAAGCTCTGAAGCACTTCCCAAAGCCAAACTTGCACCAGAAAAAAAAAAAAAAAGGTCATGTTCACTGTTTGATGGTCTGCTGAAAATCTGATTCACCACAGCTTTCTGAATCCTGGCAAAAACATTACATCTGAGAAGTATCCTCAGTAAATCAATGAGATGCACCAAAAACTGCAATGCTGCAGCCAGCATTGGTCAACAGAAGGGGCCCAATTCTTGTCCACAGCAACACTTGATTGGTCGCACAACCTATGCTTCAAAAGTTGCATAAATTGGGCTACAAAGTTTTACTTCATCCACCATATTCACCTGACCTCTCACCAACCAACTACCACTTCTTCAAATATCTTGTCAACTTTTTGCAGAGAAAACACAAAACACTTCCACAGACAGCAGGATGCAGAAAATGCTTTCCAAGAAATCATTGAATTCCAAAGCATAGATGTTTATGCTACAGGAATAAACTTATATCTCATTGGCAAAAATGTGTTGATTGTAATGGTTCCTATTTTGATTAAATGGTTCCTATTTTGATAAAGATGTGCTTGAGCCTAGTTATAATAATTTAAAATTCACCAAAACCAAAATTACTTTTGCACCAACTTAATACCATGGGCTCTACACTGCTTTGGACAGTTTGGCCATTTTAATGATATTGATTCTTCCTATCCATGTGCCTAGAATGTTTTTCATTTGTTTGTGTCATCTCTAATTTCTTTTAGCAGTGTTTTGTCATTCTTGTTGTAGAGATCTTTCACTTCTCTGGTTAGCTGTATTCCTAGGTATTTTATTTGTTGTGTGTGGCAATTACGAATGGAATTGCATTCTTGATTTGGCTCTCAGCTTGTGTGTTGTTAGTGTATAGGAATGCTACTGGTTTTTAATGTTGATTTGGTATTCTAAAACTGCTAAAGTTGTTTATCAGATCAAGCAGCTTTTTGGACAAAGACTATGGGGTTTTCTAGATATAGAATCATGTCGTCTGCAAATACGGATAGTTTGACTCTCTCTCTTCCTGTTTGGATGTCTGTTTCATCCTCCTGTCTGATTGCTCTGACCAGGACTCCCAATACTGTGTTGAATAGAGTGGTGAAAGAGGGTATCCTCGTCTTGTGCTGGCTTTCTTTTTACACTGGCTCTACAAGGCTGTATATCCTTTAGTTAAGAGTAGTGCCTCTCCAATTTTATTTCCCTAGCACTGAGTACAATGTCTAGCTTAGTGAAAGAACAAAAGAAGGAAGAAAGAGAAAGAAGGAGGAAGAGAAGAAGTAAAAGAAGAATATAGGGAAGTAGATTTAAATATGTGTTTAAGTAGTTCTTCAGGATTTTCTTCCAAGTAACATATTTTCTGGCTTCCAGTACATGTGTGTTTAAGTCCTTCACAGCTCTCATCTACAAGTCCCTTTAAAATGAAGAAAATATGTTTGGTTAAGAGAGGGCTGGAAAATGAGAGAGGGGTTTTTACTGGACAAAAATATATAGAGACTTATCTAACAATTATTATCCAATATTAATATCTGATGGCAATACACGATTAATTGAGAACTAGTGTGAAGTGACATAATCCCAAACAGATGTGGGAGAATCTTCAGGGGAAACTCAAAGCTGTTTTTTTTAATGGAATCTGAGTTTTGAGAAAGAGGACATGTAAAGGAAGATGTATATATGCATTTGTGTGAAAGATTTGTCCTGTTTTAATTGTTAACAAAAATTTATATACTCATATATTGAGGTGAGTCTATAATATATTCTAATTAAAATATTTAATAAGTTGTTTATGCCCAGAGTCTTAGTTTTGGTATTAGAGGCAGAGAAGCAGAGTTAGAAAGAAGAAAGAGGATGAATTATGTATGCTGTATTTGAGGGCCTTTGGAAATTCCAAATGCTGGTAGAGTATGCAGTTGGCACTCCGTATCAATGGGGTCTTTGTTTGCAGATTTAGCCAACCTCAGATGAAAAAAAAATGTGTTTTTAAAATTACAAAATAAAAACACAACAATAAAAATACAAAATTTAAAACAGTGCAGTATACCAACTATTTGCGTGTCATTTACATTGTATTAGCTATTATACGTAATCTAGAGTTGATTTAAAATATACAGGAGGATGTGCACAGGTTATTTGCAAATACTATGCCATTTTATATAAGAGATTTAAGCATCAGTGGATTTAAACTAATGCCCCAAGAAAACCAAAGAACTACTGTGTTAAGAACATGGCGCTGAAGCTCATAAAAAGTCCTTGGTGTGGGATTCAGACATAAGACACTGCATAAAAGCTCAACACACATGCACTATAGTCAGTGCCTGTGATTCTCTGGAATATAACTCTAGTCTGTAAAAACAGAAACCATGATGTTACAGGCTATTCTTGGCATGGGAAATGAAACCTCAGAGGTAATACTACTTCCATGGGGCCCCAGACCCCTGAGCTAGGAAATGTCTATCATTATTTGGGAAACCAGGACCTACCTTTCTCCCTTCTGGCTCATCTGAAGTCAGATGAGTCCTCTGCCATAATATGAAGTCTTAATTTAGCATTGCCATATTCTGGTTCCAGATCTTTCCCGCCTGGCTGAATATTAAGACTGCATTTTGTCTCTTGTCTTTCTTGGCATCTCTTTCCTATGCAAACTTCATGGACACTGGAAGGGCTACAAGTTTCTGAGAATCAAGGAGCCTCCATTGAGAGAGAGTGTTTTACTAGAACAAAGATATATAGAGATATATACAAGAATTACATGCAATAATTTCTGTCTCTGTAATTATTCACACTTAGAAATTCTCAGCGGCTTCTCCAGAGACTTCCCTATCTAAACTAGAAAGGTAGTCTTTGGGAAAAGTGTTTTCATTCACAAAAGGCAAGCTATGCATGAGTTATTCCTGCACTGGGCAACAAGGAGTAGATAGTTACCTCTGCCTTCGAATACCCCTTCATCTGACTAGGACCTAGCCTCTCTTATATCTACTTTCAAGCCCAGATTGAGCACTTCTCTTCTTTCCTTCCTTTAGTTGCTTCTACTATGAGGTGTATATAGATTTTATATCCAGTCACTGTTGAAGACTTTCATCAACTCATCACTCATCCTTAAGTCATTTCACACTGAGAACAACTGGGACCCACCCTCTTTCCTGTTTCTTTAACATTTGTCAGAATCTCCTCAACCCTCTAACACCTTTTTTTCAGCACGGGGCAGTAAAATTCCATTTATTTTTTCTGTTCTCAGCACTTACTATTAAGACCAGATTTCATAGCAAAGGCTAAGGCCAAATCTCATTAATGATTTTAATAGTTACTTTTGTCTTAAAGGAGCTTCTGACAGGACTAGAGTGTTTCAGGGTTTGGTGAGTCAAAACTGTTATATTTCTTTGTGACACATGGCAGAGGAAGAATAAACCAGGGCCTACATGTGTTACACGTAAAATACATACAGACTGAAGACACGGTTCTCAAATTAGTAGAGATATAATTGTAAAAACCCAAACCCCATGTCAGCATGGTGTGAACAAAAATTTCAGTGAATACTGACTATGGATCTTAATGAACTACATTAAGGAAGTGGACAAAGCTGGAGACATTCCGGAATTAATCTTTGTGTCTCACAACCAAAACCAAAGACTTTTCTGTGAAGAGGAAATGAGGGAAAGGGAGGGGGGAGAACGACACTTGGTTTAGACATTGTTTACTGCCGCAGCACCCAAACAATTTTTAGCAATATTACCAAAGCTTGTACTGTATTGTATTTTCTGTTCTGTCGTGATTGATAGTGCAATTAAAAGGAAGGTGGACTAAAATCATCCCAGGCAAAGGCTAAGGTGATCAAGCTGATAAAGCCTGAACACCACGTCAGTGAAAAATGAGACTGAGAAAGCTATTATCACACAATAATAACACCATATTTTCTGAGGACTGAATGAATTCCAGTTACTTCTCCCAGCCTTTTACATGCGTTTATACACATAGGTTGCCCCGTTTAATGCTCACAAGCTCTCCTGCTCCTTGTCTGATCAAGGCATGCTATTCACTGGTTCCCCCTTCTGCATGTTCTTCTCAGGTTTGCAAAGTTCATTCCTGTTCATCCTTCAGAACTCAACTCAAATGCCACTTCCTTTCCCAACCTTTTTAATTAGGTAAAATCCTGCTATTATAGGCATACAAAGCTATGTAGTTTTTATGTTCATAGCTTATAAATAACACTTGCAGTGGAATGTTTTGTAAGAATATTAAAACTCGAGTTAAGGTAAGCAAAGCACTGAGCCCACTTTGGATGAGGGAAGTGAACAAAAATATTAGCCATTTGATGGGTTAAAAGGATATAGATGAAACTGTTTCAACAGGATGGCTGTGGGACTCAGGAAGCTGGCAGGGGCTGTGTCATACCCACACGATGACTTCATCAAGAGCCCATCCTACTTCTCCACCACTCAAGACATCCTCTCTAGTTCTGACTGTGCCGTGACTATTGGGCTTCTCTGCCATGTGGCATTTTATTTTCTGGGGGCAGGTAAGTCATAGACACAGTTCATTCCAAAATCAAGAAAGAACACTTCTTCTTTATTGGGTTTGTGCCTGGCTCAGCATCTAAGTTCATCGTGAACTCTGTTGCCAATTTTTGTCTCTTCCCATAGGCCTCATGGAAGCTGACATCTACTAGACCCCAAGACACTGTGTTATAGGGACCGGAAAGAAGATCACCCTGGAATGTTCTCAAACCATGGGCCATGACAGAACGTACTGGTATCGACAAGATCCAGGAATGGAACTAAAGCTCATCCATTATTCCCATGGAGTTAATTTCACAGAAGAGGGAGATCTTTCCTCTGAGTCAACAGTCTCCAGGATAAGGAAGGAGAATTTTCTCCTGACCCTGGAGTCTGCCAGCTCCTCACCTACCTCTCAGTACCTCTGTGCCAGCAGTGAATACACAGTGCTTAATGGACACCTACATTCTGCACAGAAAGGCTCACCTCCACGATGAGGACATCTTGCCTTCAGAAACCTCATCTTAAACTACAGAAACCCCTGCAAATCTTCCCAGACTCCTCAGCATTAAGGGACCACCAGTGTGCTTGAAGTAACAGTCTAGACTAAAGGCTATCTCTGGCTCAGTCTCTACCAAGTTGAGAAATGATCCAGCCCCACAATCATCATGGCTGACTTCTTTCTTGCATCTAGCTTCTGCTGTTCAATTGAGCTTGCATGAATTTTATCCTTCATGATAAATGTGATAATATCTGACAGTTGCCTTATGGCTAGCTGAAGAAAGTCTTTGTCAGCTAAGAAACAGGAAAAGCATCCTCTGACTTTCTGCACAGGCTGTCTTTATCTACAGGAGTTTTTGTAGTTTAAGATGAGGTTTCTGAAAACAAGATGTCCTCATCTCAGAGGTGACCCTGGTTCATGGTTCCTTCCTCATGTTAAACTAGTTCCTTCATACACAGCCTCACAAGTCCCTGCCCTTTCCTGACCCCAGTCCTGCACTTGACGACTTCAGTTCCTCAATCTATGACTTTGAACTTGGAATAAATTTTTGTTTTCACTTGGAATAAGTGATTAATGATGATTTGCACTAATCTCCCTCTAAATAAATGAATTTTAGCTAAATCTAATGAGGCAGAAGGAAGAGAGAAGGCTCCAACTTTGGCAAAGAATAGTCTTTAACAATGTCCCTGGATTCAGCCCTAAATCTCTTTGGAGACTACTCTTGCCATTGGGAGACTATTCCACAGATAGATGATTCTTCTGTCTTAGGTATGCTGAATCTCAGGGAAATGTTCTCTATCCGCATGAGATCAGACCTGGGACCTTAAATAGATTCATTTTTCACAAAAGCATAGACTGCTATGGGGCCCTAGGTCTCCTGAGAATGGGTGGGTGCTGAGCTCAGATGTGAAACCTCTGTTTTGTGGTTACCAAAAAGTAAAGTCACAGAGTCTCTGTCTTGGTTTTACCTCCTTAAAAAGTAGCTTTACTATGTTGGAAAATAATCTAGAGAACATAATACATATTTTACTGTAAAAGTCTGCTTATTCATTCTTCTTTTCTATTTGTATTCTACGATACTAGCCATTCTTCACTCTTCTTTGTGGGCTCTTTCTATTCTCATTTTCCTTATTTTGTCCTTATTTCTGGACTTTAATTTTTTGCCTCTTAACCTACACGTACATCTTAGACAATATCATCAACTCTATTACTTGAAGTATATGTCTCATTAGTTTCAAGTTAGCTGCCTACTAGATATTCCTACCTCTGTATTTCGTAGGCTACTCAACCCAACTTGTTCCCAACAGAGTTCATCATCCTCCCAATACCATGTCCTCTTTTGGAGACACCATTGTCTTGGGAGGCTCATCTCCAGTAGTCAGATGTCCTTAGCAAACACCTAAAGGATTAAAAACCCTTCCTTGCTGAACTCTTAGCCTTATGCCTTACCCTTCTGGCCTTTCTTCTAAAAGTGGTATGCATCATAGAGTTGGCCCTCTGTATTCATGAGTTGCACATCCCTGGATTCAACCAGCCACAGATCAAAAACATTTTTTTCAAAAATTATGTCTATACTGAACACACACAGACTTTTTCCTTGTCATTATTCTAACAAATACAGTATGACAACTATTTACATAGCATTTATTATATTTGGTACTATTAATTATTTACAGGTGACTTAAAGTATATGCATAGATTACATGCAAATACTATATACCATTTTTCAGCAGGGACTTGGGCATTTGTGGATTTCGTTACCCTTGGAAGGTCCTGGAACCAATTCCCCAAGATACTGAGGGATAACTGTAGACAAATGTGATTACACTACTGGATCCCCTCACAATTTCTCCATGTTTCTCCTCCATATTCAAGATAAAATTTAAATTCCTTCACCTGGCTTAATGGTATTTTGTGATCTGGACTCCGGAAATTAGCTTACCTTGAACACCTTAACCTGGCTGTTTTTCATCCTGGGAGTACTGAACTTCTGACCATTTTCTATAGACCATGTTCTCTTACCCATCTGAGACCCTGTACCTGCTGTCACTGTATTTACGAAGTCTGCACTTCTTGTCTACAGGGCGGACTTCTACTCCAGCCTCTCATTAATGACTATGCTAACACAAAAAGTCTTAATCTGCTTCAGATTGTTCCTGTCCTCCAAATAGTGTTGTGGGAGGCTCTCTTCATCACCATCCTCCTTATTTTCCAGTATGTATGTCTTCTTGGTGCATGGTTTTCCTGGAGCATTTTATTTAAGAATGGTCACAGGGTATAAATCAGACAGAAACAAAACAAAGCAAAGTCTTCGAGAGGAGATGAATGTCACCCCTGCTGAGTATTTTTGAATGCGATGCTGGAAGCTGATCCAGTGAAATCCTTCCTATTCTCTGATGAAAGGAAGATCTAGCTTTGACACTGGAACAGATAATGATGAATGCTTCCCAGAAAGATGCCAGGTGAATTGCGGGGTTCAGTGTAAATAAATAAGTGACATGTTTATGTTAATAGATATTACTTATATATGAGCAAACCTGGTCTTGCTTTATTTTAAAAAAAAAAAAGCAGCTATTGCTCAGTTTAATAGATTTAAGTATACTTTACATGCCATGAAATTCACCCTCTGTAAGGTACAGTTTAATGATTTATAGTAAATATATTGAGTTTTACAGGCATCTCAAAATCATTTTAAAACATTCCCATTGCCCTCAAGAGATCCCTTCTGCCCTTTAGTTATTTCCTAAGGTGCCCCACCTCAGGCAGCCCCCTATCTATTCTTTGCCTCCATAGATTTGATTTTTCTGAAAAACTTTATAAAAACAGTGTATTAAAATATGCAGTCTTTGTTTCTGACTTCTTTAAGTTCACCTAACATTTGGGGTGTTCATTCATGTTATAGTATATTTAAGTTATTTGCTACATTTTTGTTGCAGAAAATTATCCCATTGTATGGATATAGCATATTTTATGTATCCATTCAGCAATTTTTGGACATTTGAATTGCTCCAGTTGTTAACCTATTATAAATAATGCCACTATAAATGTTCTTATTTAAATATTTGGGAAGTTATAAACTTTTATTTTATTTGGTAGGTGTCTAGAAGTGAAATTACTGAGTCATGGGATAAGGGTATAAATAAATTAAAAACAGAAACAAGAAAACTTGCAAAATGTTTTTAGAACTGGCTATTTCCTTTTACATTTCTATCATGTAATGTGTGAGGGTTCCAGTTTTTTCACATGCTCTCCAACATTTGGTCTTTTTTAATAATCATCATTCTGGCAAATGTGTGGTGTCACCTCACTGTGGTTTTTAATTTTTGTTTCCCTAATAACTAGTGATATTGAGCATCTTTTTGTTTGCTTATTAATCATTCCTGTATGACCTCTGATGACATACTTATTAAAATTCTTTACTCATTTTAATTGGACTGTTTGTGTCTTTTAATTATTGAGTTTTAAGAGTCCCTTATTAGATATATGACTTTCAAACATTTTTTACTGCTCTATCATTTGTCTTCTCATTTTCTTAATCAGTGACTTTGAAGACCAACCATTTTTTTATTTTGACGAGGTTCAGTTTTTTAATTTATCTTTTATGAATTATGCTTTTCATGTACTTCTAAGAAATATTTAACTAACCCAAAGTCATAAATTTTTTTCTGTCTTGTTCTAGAAGTTTCATAGTTTCAGCTTTGATATTTGGCATATGGCATGTTCTAAGTTAATTTTTGGATATGGTGTGAGATCATTATTATTAATAGCATTAGTGTTTTTGCATAGGATAACTTCTGTACTATTTGTTGAAAGTAATATTATTCCATTGTTAAAATAACTTTATATCTTAATCACAAATGAATTAACCATAAGCGGATGGGTTTATTCCTGATCTATGTCTTCTTTTGCCTTAATCTATGTTTATCTTATGTTAATACCACACTCTGTTAATTACTGTAGCTTTATACTATGTTTTAAAATTGGCTAGTGTAAGTCTTTAAACTGTGTTTTTCTTTTTCAAAATTGCCTTGATTATTCAAGCCCTATTTATTACCACTCAAGTTTAGGATCAGCTTGTCAATCTCTACAAAAGGTAGTACTAGAATTTTGACAAGGATTGCAGTGTACTTATTGATAAATTTGAAGATAATTTCTATCTTAACAATACTAAGCCCTTCATGATCATGGAATACTTTTCCTTTAAGATCTTTTTAAATTTATCTCAACATTTTATATTTTTCTATGTATAGGTCTTATATTTCTATTGTTTAATATATTGCAAAGTGTTATTTTTATAATGCAACTATAAAAATATTTTTATTAATTTCACTTTTGGATTAAAATGCATATGATTTTTGCTATACATACTGTATCCTGAAATCTTGATAAATGAATTCATTAGTTCTCAAAGTTTCTTCATAGATTTTGTAGGAGTGTTTTTTACATAAGGGATCATGTAGTCTGAGATTAAAAAGACTTTTACTTTTTCCTTTCCAACCTGAATAACTTTTATTGCAATTTCTTATCTGACTGCATGTCTGATATCTCCAGTGCAATTTTGATACATTTATTTTTGTTTCATTTCTGTCACTTTTACTTTATGTATTTTGGGACTCTGTTGATAGGCCCCAGGAGTTACTCCACAGTGCTACACAGGCACGTGGTTTCTACACTAAAAGTAACTAAGCTTAGAGATTTGTGGGATACAATCAAGCATACCCACATATGCAAAACTGGAATCTCAGAAAGAGAGAAGTGAAAGTTAAAAAACAAGAATAGCCACAAACTTCTCAAATTTGTTGCAAAACATTAATCAAAAGAACCTAGAACTTTAACATCTCTCAAACACTGTAAACACAGACATCCATGTCTAAATACATTATACTCAAACCTCAGAAAGCCAAAATCCACAAATATATTGAAATCAATATATTTTCTTAACAAGAGAAAAATGACTCCTTATGTGAAAGAGAAGAGCAATATAATTAACCTGACTTTAAATCAGAAGTCATTGTTTCTGACTTTAAATCAGAAACAATGGAGATCAGAAGATAATGGAAAAGCACTGAAAGAAAAAACATCCTACCAAAAATTCTATATCCAGAAAAAACTATTCTTTATAAATAAAGATGAAATAAAGATATTCCCCTATAAGCAAAGGCTAAGAAATTTGTGGTTAGCAGACCTATGTTATAAGAAATATTAGAGGAAGTCACCCACCTACATGATGTCTTACTGTCTGTTCTAACTCAGTTCATTCTCTGTAGCTGAGAACCTGTCAGTAGCTTTCCATTGACTTTAGGGTTTGACCAATCTTTTTTATATCTAGATGTTAAACTATAAATTCTTTTTGTAAAAAAAAAAAAAAAAAAAAATCTTCCCAACTACAAATGCTTAAAACCCTCCATGATTTGGCCCTTGCATACCTATCCAGTCTTGTGAAATTCACCTACTCTTTACTCTCTTCTACATACTTATGCTCTAATAATATTCTTAATCCCTCAGCCCTCCCAAAGCTTCGTATATGCTTTCTCATTCACTTCTGAGCCTTTACACATGCTGTTCGCACTAGCTAGAATAATCTTTCTCTCCATTTATCTATACTGCTAAACCTCCATGTTTAAATGGAATAATCACTATACCTGAGTCTCTGACTGTGGTAAATAACCCATAGTATCTACAGCTTCTACTAATATAGAGTATTACACACTTCACTGTTTAACTTATTATGATAGTTTTTAAAATTATTGATTAATATAAAATATGCTCCATGAGGCCAAGGACCATGTCCAAGGTTTTAATTTTTGTATCTTAAGTATTACAGCCTCTCAATATTTATTGAAAAATACAAAAATTTTTGTATCTTAAGTATTACAGGCTCTATAAATATTTATTGAAAAATCCCGGATTTTATCAGTTCTTGCCTCCCTAGCTAAGATAGGATCTCAGCTATCTAAACATTTCTCTCTCAAAACTATTGCTGCAATAGTTTGGAGATTTTCACATTGTGGTAGACTGACTAATAGTCTCCCAAGATGTTCAGATCTGAATCCCTGAAAATTGTGACTATGTTCTCTTACTTTGCTGAAAGGATTTTGCAGATGTGATTGCTAAGGATCTTGAAAGGGGGAGGTTTTCCTTGATTAGCAAGTGAGCCCAATATCATCACATCCTTTCCTAAAAATCTTACTTAAAACCACACCACCTCTGTGAAGCCCTCTCTTTCCCCAGACAGATATGAAGGTCTCTTCCTTCATGTGTTTATAACAAATTAAAGAAAATTCAACTTCCATCACTATGTTATGATATTTATGGTCATGTCTGACTCTTCCTAGACTACTAGTATGGGTTTTGAGGAATTGGACTATACAATCATTTACCTTTGTAAATCCAATATGTAAGACTTGGCACAATATATTGGATACAGAATTATAATGCTGATGGGAGCAGAAACATTAATGTTTTGTTCATGCTTGTATCCCAGAATCTAGTACTATGTCTGGTGCACATAGTAAGAGTGAGGCAGAGGATGCAAGTCAGAAAAAGGGTAATGTGACAATGGAAACAGCGATTGGAATGACACACTTTGAAGATGGAAGGGCCCTGAGCCCAGTCGTGCAGATGGCATCTAGAAGCTGGAAGAGGCAAAGAAATGGATTGCTCATAAAGCCTACAAAAAGAACACCACCTGCCAACACCTTGACATTTAGCCCCACAAGACTCATTTCAGACTTTTAACCAGAACAGGATGGAAGCAAAAAGATGGAATTGATCAACATAAAAGCAGAAGTTAATAAGGTAGAACATGGTTTAATGATAGCATTAAGAAATAAGCAAATTGGTTGGGAAAAATGGAAAACCACTTGCCAGCCAAAAGACAGAGAGAAGAAAGACACTGAAAAAGAAGTGACAAAGGGAAGTGACTATCATGATAAAGTCTATTTTAAAAAACAGTATTTTGCATAATTCTCTGCAAACAACCTAAAAGTCTAAATGAAATGGTACATTTTAGGAAGATACAATTTAACAAAACTGGTCCTAATGTGGATAAAAAGCCTAAACAAAACAATGGCCACAAAAAAATAAAGAAATTTATAATAGAATTTCCTCACAGAAAAGTGCCAGTTCTTTATAGTTTCGTACAGGGTTTTTACCACACCTTTTAAAAATCAGAGACTTTGAGAATACCTAAAACATTGCAAAGTATAGAATGGTAGGGGAACCTTCTAAATTATTTTAGTGACATGAGCTTAACATTTATACCAAAACTTAACAAAACTGCACCTTAAACAATCTATAGACCAACATTACTGATTATTGACCAAAAAAAAAAAAAAAATAGTACTCAATAATAGAGACTCAAACAACAACATTAGAAAATAATCTACAAATTGGAGCTTTCTCCAGAACTGTAAGGGTAGTTCAATATTAGTAAACTTACTCATCAAATCCATTATGTTAGTCAATGGGGTTGGCCTGAGTCCTGGGAAAAGAGTAGGTAGGAAGTGCTACCTCAGGAAGGCATTGAGGGAGAAGACATCCTCACCCTATCTGGAAATTTACCCTCCTCATTAGCCATTCATGTCTCTTCTCAACGGTACTCTCCAGCTCTACTGAACTCTTGGCAAACTCCAACTATGTCATTCTCTTAGACATTGCATAGGCTGGTCCCCCCACCTAGTCCACCCGGAAATTATTTATTTTCCTACAAATCTTACTTTAATCCATACTACCTCTGTGAAGTCCTTTCTTCCCAGGGAATTACGGATGTTTCTTCCCCTCTGTGCTTACAACAATTAAAAGTCTGTTACTATATGTTACTGTATTATGGCTTTTTTGATCATGTCTGACTCCTTCTAGGTGAAAGATGGGACTGTATATCTTCCTACCTTTGTAACTGCAGTAGTAGGACGAGGAAGGATATATCGGACACAGAATTATAAGTCCCATGGGAGAAGAGACCTTCTTATTGTTGTCCATGGCTGTATCCCAGAGTCTAGTACTATAGTACACATAGATGTATATTTGTTCAATAATATGAAAGACTCAAATATGTCTTTATGGAATTGACGCTACACTTATGCCTCACCATCTCCTACTTGCCCCCAAATTATTTATTAACTATCTCATGTCTTAGGTCTCATCTCCCTTCCCTAGTTAAGAGTGGGCCCTATTGCTAAGCAGGTTGAAATAGAACACTGATAAAGAAAATCTCTGCAGAAAATGCTGAAGAAGAACACAGTAATAAAAATACCTTTACTCTGATGATGCCATATATAAGGGCAGATGCAGTTGGTTTAAACTTCTAAATTGGCTCATTTCTATGAATGCCACGCCTCACAAGTTCAGGAACTTCCAGTGAGGGGCTTTGCAACAATCTCTGGGCTCAGTGGGGAGCTATTCCCTTGCAAATCTCCTCACTGCCACTA